ATATAGTAGGAGAACCACTAGAGGAGAGCATGTGGGCACCAAACAAAAGAGATTGCAACCAAAATAACAGTCTACTCACCAATATACCAGCACATAATGTGCCAGGAACAACGAAAGAAGAACGTACAAAATTCATCAAATGGTCACTAAAAAACAATGAACATATTAAAGCCATTAAAGAAGTCTTCAAAAGAGGTAATTTGTGGATAGAGGTAGAGTTCGATTGCGAGCATGGCAGAAACGAAGCAATCCAGAGAATCAGCAGGAAAGAAAGCAACTGATATAAACTAATATCAGAAGAACAGAAAGGCACAAAAGGAAAACAAATATTATACAAGGAAGAATACTGCAAAAGAAGAAATAGCATAATGAAAAAGGAGGAAGAGACACATAACAAGGAAGAAACTAAGACAGAAGATAACACAAATGACTACAAGTTAGATGAGAAATCTAGTGACAAAGTATATATAACAATATGGGACTTGCCAACAAACATTAATAGAAGAGAGCTAGAATATATCTGCAGAAGATTCAAAAGTGCCCAAATAATAAGAATCAAAAGATCAAAATATAAGATGCTCGCAATCGTGCAGATAGAAGAAAGCAAAAGAGAAGACATCCCATAGGCCATACTAGTTAACAATGATAAACTAGTACGAATAACTAGAGGAGAAGAAAACCATGAAGCAAAAGAAAAACAGAGAAAATATATGGCAAAGTTAACTGAACTACTCAGAAATGCCTCAGAAGTCTTACTACTATGGTATTTAAGAAACAAAGGTGTTAAGTCAGTTCACATCCCTTCAAATAGAAATGGAAACTAGAAAAGAACAGCAATAGTAATGTTCGCAACAGAAAAGACATGAATGCAGCCCAAACAAAACCAATTCTGTATAATAATTTTAGAGTTTACTGGATTAAGGAAGAAAAAGCTTGATTTAATATTCAACTAGAATTTAATATTCTTAAAACCTTATTTATGGACAAATACAATATTCCTTCCCTTAAAAACTCACTTTTCCATTTTAATGAATGGTTTGAAAAAGCTTTTCCACTATACAGTAGACAATTTTCAAATACTATCGACAAAACCAAAGTATCTAATTACCTCAAATACCAATTTAGACAACATTTTATTTCTCACCTCAAAGAACTCCTACCTAGTACTCATGAATTTGCAGAACCACATAATCTACAAAAAAGACGACATGAAACTTTTAAACAAGTCAACTACCATATACTTACCTGCACAGACTCTAAATGCCCTTATCTCTTAACTACTGAAACAACAAAAGGAAAAGAAAAAGAAATACCTACAAACTCAAAACCTAACATTGAATTATACCTACAATATAATACATCTGCACTTACCAAATACACTTTTGATAACTCTTACCAACAATACCCAAAAAAAGACAATGAATCATGTAATGAACCCTATCTTGATTCATCTGTTTTTTATACTAAAGGCAAACATGAAGTTACATTTTAAAAACAAATTCCTATCACTGTACTTGATGAATTAGCAGCAAAAGCAGAAGAATATATCTGCTCTGCCAATGCTGTTAAAGCTAACTCTAAATAACATGGCTTCTACTTCTATCAATATCTATCAATCTACCAAAATACTGCTGCCCAAAATCACAATATAGATAAAATAAACAAACAACAAGCAATTGATTTCATTACAACTAAGCTTATTGATACTGACTTTCTTGCACGAGTAATCACCTATTTGACTGCACAAGTAGTAACTCACCAAACTATTTAGAGATTACTAAATTCTACAAAGAAAAAGCTCTTCCTGAAGCTGAAACTATTCTATACAATAAATTTAACATCAAATTTGAAATCCCTACTGCTATAGAAGAATCCCTCTTTTTAAAAGAAGAGGAACAGACCCAGACCCCTTTTCACTAAAATTGTCTTCTACATAACTCATAAATGCAGCTGCCACCTTATCAAAAGAAACTATCAAAGTATTTGATAAGGAAGATGATGTAAGTAGGCAGGCAGGAAAGCCTATTTATACAGAGAACCAAGCAAATGATGGTCAGACTCAACATACAGAGCAGACTATAGAAATCTTCGCAACTGTAAAAGCCGAGCTTCATACGGTGAGTGCCTTAGTAGAAGACAAATACTCATTCTCAGAGACCACCTCATCACATAACTCTGAGAACTATAATACAAATTTCAAAAAAACTAATTACAAACTTTCACATACCTACAACCCTGAAGTCTGTTATAACAAATTTTTTGCACATTTCAATCTACCTCCAATTCTACAAGACCAAACTATTGGTTCTTTTTTTAAACACCTTCAACAACATAATCTTACACATTATACTATCTTTTCTATTAATATCAACATTAGTGAAGCCCATATCTATTTACCTTCTAAATTGCACTTATTATCAGAACACACTTTTATTAGTCAAAAGCTTCTATACCAGTATCTTGACACCCCTCTTAAGTCTCAAATACATGAAACACTTAATCTCAACATTGCTATCTACAATATTCAAGGTTTTAATGATACAGAAAAGAAACTCCTATTAGAAGAATATTGTCTTCAAAACAATTTACAAATAATGTGCTTA